CCCCAACTGCTCCCCGGGCGCCACAGCATAAATGGCTGCCCACTGCTCCGGGTGTGTGTTCACGGTGTGTGTGTGTTCACTGCTGTGTGTGTGCACTAAGGATGGGTTAAATGCAGAGCACTAATTCCTAGTATGGGTAACCATACTTGGCCACATGTCACGTCACGTCACTTTATAAAAGGAGCTGCTTCTTCTTAGCTGACAAACGATAGGCATTTGAAAGTTTTGTTTCCTACTTTGGATTGTAGGTAAATACTCACCTCATTCAGTGCTCTGTTTTCTGTCTTATAAAAACATCCTGGTACGTATTTCGGTGTGCGAATCTGCTGCAAACGATTCAGTGTGTGAGTGAACTGTTCAAACGAATCAAACTGAATCGCGTTTAACCGCTCAAAATAGTAATTCATTCAAGAATCTGGCATCATTCGTTCTCATTTTAAACAGCTGACGCCCCCGACTATGATTTGCAACACTTGTTCTTTTTATTTTTTATTGTATTTATTGTATTTATATATTATATATTAAATATAATATTCATTAAATTTTTCTTTTCAACATATAGACCAAGGAGACCAAGGATGCAATGAATGAGGGTCGATTTGACGATGCTGTTAAGCTCAGGGGAAGGTATGTTTGGAAATATCATACTTTTTTTGTTATTAAAATAAACTTGTATAGTATCACTATTAAATTATTCAAACTCAAAAATGTCTGCCTGTGCAGGAGTTTTGAGAATAACTGGAACACATATAAGCTCCTGGCTCATGTGCGCCCCCCAGAGACAAAGGTGAGGAGATTCGGAAATAAAATTGAAAAAAAAAAGTAAAAAAAAAAAATTTTTGTATAAATTAAAAAAAAAGTAAAAAAAAAATAACAAATAATAATAACATTGAGTAGTACTTATAATTCATTACCTTTTTCTTATTTTTTATCTTTTTATTCTTATTTTTATCATGTGTTTCTTCTTTGTGTACCTTTTTCTTCATCAGAGTAACATTAATGTGGCTATTTTGAATGTGGGTGCTCCCTGTGCTGGCATGAACGCAGCTGTACGTGCAGCTGTCAGGATCGGCATCATCCAGGGTCACAACATGCTGGCTGTTCATGATGGCTTTGAAGGTCTGGCTGAGGAAAAGGTAAGCAGCATTGACCAATTGAGTACCGTTTCAAAGTTTGGGGTTCGGTAAAAAAAACAATTCTGGCCACCAAGGCTGAATTTATTTAATTAAAAATACAGTACAAACAGTAATGTTTTGAAATATTATTACAATTTAAAATATCTGATTTCTATTATAATATATTTTAAAATGTAAAGCAAAGTTGACTATTCAGCAGCTATTATTCCAGTGCCATTACTTCAGTGTTGCAGGATCATATAGAAATCCTAGTATTCTGATATACTGATTTTGTGCTCTTTTGTGCTATTAATATCTTATTAATATATTCTTGAAAACTTAAAGAATAGCATTTATTTGAAATACAGTAGATGTCTTTTACAGTCAATTTTGAACAATTTAATGTGTCCTTGCTGAATAAAACTAGTACTTTCTTTTAAAAAAATCTTACTGACCTTAAATTTGTAAATGGTGGCTATGTTATAAAATTTAATAAAAACTATTATGAGGACATTAAAGCCATTGTAGTGTTGTCATATTCTGTCTAACATAATGTTGTTAGATTGAGCCCATCACCTGGAACACTGTTGGAGACTGGACAGGGAAAGGTGGCTCTGAGTTGGGAACCAAAAGGTACTGGTCACTCCTGTAGATATTCTTCATCATCATTTATAGTTCTGCAATATTTAAAAAGTGAATCTCTTTTGTTTATGCAGAGTGTTACCTGGAAAGTACATGGAAGAGATCAGCTTGAATATTGCCAAGTACAATATTCATGCTCTGGTCATCATTGGGGGTTTTGAGGCAAGTGATGAAATGTAATGATATTATATACAATACAATGCCTATAATATACAATATAATGTCCTGTTCTGTTATCATTCTGTCCATATTCTGTTCAGGTCACATTAAAATTCCCCTTTTCAGGCATTTTCAGGTGCATTGGAGATGGTTCAAGGCAGAGGGAAATACGAAGAGCTGTGTATTCCCATGGTGATCA